GCTGCCAAACGCATGCTGTGAGGGGGGCTTAGGCCGGTCCTGTAGGCCCTTCGTTACCTCCCCTCCGGATATCTACGTTACTCTACAGGAGCAGTGTTAGGCCGGGACGTCACCAGCCTTTACCCCGTCTGCCACACGGGCCACTGTCCTCTAATCTAATTGTGCTAGACTATGCATCGTGGTTCAGGTGAATAACTCCGCCCTTTTGAAGCACACGCGGTTTTTAGCGCGCCCTTCGTGGGTTTGGAGCTAAGCTCCTGAGCCTTGATGTCCAACTAAGGTACCGAATGAATCTGACTCCGCTCAAACTCCGTTCTCCTCCGACTCAACCCGTCTCCAAATGCATCTGGTCAATTCAAACCCCATTTATTGTATATGCCGAACATTATAAAAGGACTGCTAGAGTGAAACATTTGATCCCTGACGATATGACTTCTGCGTACTACCCTACCAATACCCTAACGACAATCGACGCGCGAATTTACCTAATCCTCCACCCAGGTGCTCCTATCCTAGCTAAGGGATGTCCTTGAGCCCGCGACAATCCCTGCGTGATAGGAACCTACCTCGAGCCAGTAGAGCCAGCAGCCTGATGAGCAGTCGGGCACAGCGCAGCACAGCACTAAGGCAGGCAGACACTGAGCCTCGACTCCTCCTCACACTGTGCTTATGTACTGTCTCGAGGCGGAAACGCCCTAGCTAGCCGACCCGAGGCATGACCGACTAACCGTTGCGCCTGGTTCCTACCACGCTGGCCTCCTTTATGCCCAACCAACAAAAACAGACGGACGCTCGACGTTGGTGAAAAGACTACGCGATGGAACTACACTACACAAAGACACTATACCATTTTAATAACAGGCGAATACGTAGCAGACTAATAAACAGGTTAATAACAGGCGAATGCGCAGTAGACTAATAATTATGCGATTTCAATTACAAAACATTCAGTACATAATAAAATAACAGGCGAATACGTAGCAGGCTAATAATTTTGCGATTTCAGTTATAAACCCTTCAGTACAGTATACAATACCCTCCGAGCTCAGTGTTTACGATCCTGTCCTACAGACACTGCAGACATTGTCCTACATAAATACCCCCGTCTTCGCCAGGAGGGAAAAATCCCCTTACTCTGGGGGGGGGGGGGGGGCACCGGGCAGCGCGCGGGCCGGCCGCACGGGTGTCCGCCTCTTCGTGGCGCGGCGCATGGCATCTCACGGGCCGATGGCACGGGCAGCGCCCGACTGTTCGTTGTTGCCCGGCACAGCACACGGTAGCGCGCGGGCTGGCTGCACGGGCAGCGTGCGAATGTCCGATCAGCATCACGGGCCGATGGCACGGGCAGCGCCCGACTGTTCGTTGTTGCCCGGCACAGCCGTTGTTGCCCGGCACAGCACACGGTAGTGCGCGGGCTGGCTGCACGGGCAGCGTACGAATGTCCGATCAGCATCACGGGCCGATGGCACGGGCAGCGCCCGACTGTTCGTTGTTGCCCGGCACAGCACACGGTAGCGCGCGGGCTGGCTGCACGGGCAGCGTGCGAATGTCCGATCCGCAGCGGGGCACACGGCCACGGTGGTCCAACCGCTGCCTGAGGCGGCGTGGGCTAGTGGTACTGCAGCGCAGCAGACGGCACCGTGCCAGCTCACGGCACGGACGAAAGTTCGCTCTGTCACGGCGCGGCACTTGACAGCTGGCTGCGACCCCGAGCACGGCACACCACGTCGTGGACCGCACGGGCAGTGCCGACGGTTCGCTGTTGTTCAGCACGGCACACGGTAGCGCGCGGGCTGGCTGCACGGGCAGCGTGCGAATGTCCGATCCGCAGCGGGTCACACGGCCACGGTGGTCCAACCGCTGCCTGAGGCGGCGTGGGCTAGTGGTACTGCAGCGCAGCAGACGGCACCGTGCCAGCTCACGGCACGGACGAAAGTTCGCTCTGTCACGGCGCGGCACTTGGCAGCTGGCTGCGACCCCGAGCACGGCACACCACGTCGTGGACCGCACGGGCAGTGCCGACGGTTCGCTGTTGTTCAGCACGGCACACGGTAGCGCGCGGGCCGGCGGCACGCACGGGTGTTCGCCCCGTCGTGACGCGGTACATGGCAGCGCGCGGGCCGATGGCACGGGCAGCGTGCGGTCACTTCCTGTAGCCTCTCACCTGGTAGGGCGCAGGTCACCGTGATGGTTGTGCGCGGCAGCTCCGTCTTGTGCGCGGCACCCGATAGAGCGCGGGCCGCCTTCTGAGGTCCGAAGTACCCGAGCGCGGCACCCGTCGTGGCCGTTACCGTGCCACGGCGGGAGCGGGCATCGATGGGTCAAGCCAGCGGTCGGTGGCCAGCAGGGGGCGTTGCCGGTGGTGTCCGGACCCTCGTCGCGCTCCGTCGTAGGCGGCGTGGCGTGTGGCCGCAGCGTCCGGAGCGCGGCCAACGGCTTCATCGCGGGCCGCCGGCTGATGTCGAGCACCCGAGCGTGGCACCTGGGTTGGCCGTGACCGAGTCTCGGCGGGTGGTGGCACCGACGGGCCCAACCAGCGGACGGCGACCAGCAGCGGGCGGGGCCGGCAGCGTTCGGACCCCCGTCGTACACTGTGGAGGCGGCGTGGCTCTCGGCCGCAGCGGGGCGGCACACAGGGCCGCATGTACGTCATCAAGCTGCCAGCGCCGGAGGGAAGCCGAAGCGATGCAAGTGTGGGCAGCAGTTGTCGCGCCGTAGTCTGCCATGCCATCTTTGTCGTGGGCCGGCCGCAGTTCCCCGACACTGGGGCAATCTGTGACCGCCACCCCCGGTGTCCTTCTTCCGTTGGCGACCAGGGATACGCGACCGTAGCGGTGTCTGCCGGCGCTGCACCAACTGGGACCGTCGCGACACTGTGCAGTGGCGGTCGCCACCATCCCCGTGTCCGGCGCCGCCCCATTATCATTGCCGCTTCTTGCCGCCGTCGCGGCTCTTGTGGCAGTAAAATGCCTGCACTGCCTCCGCGTTTGCAGCTACACCTTCTGAGCTGCACGTGTTGTGGCCGTCGCAACCCTGGGTGCAGTGATCGGGCACGCACTGCTCAAGCCCTGCGCTGCACCATCGTCATCGCAGCGCGTCTCGTGGCCGTCGCGATGCGTATGACAGTGATCGGTCACTCACTGCCGTTGCATCTTACGCAGCGTCCACATACTGCCATTCATGCAGCTCAAGCTCTGCGCTGCACCATCGTCATTGCAGCGCGTCTCGTGGCCGTCGCGATGCGTATGACAGTGACCGTTCACTCACTGCCGTCGCATCTTACGCAGCGTCCACATACTGCCGTCGCATCTCATGCATCTCAAGCTCTGCGCTGCACCATCGTCATTGCAGCGCGTCTCGTGGCCGTCGCGATGCGTATGACAGTGACCGTTCACTCACTGCCGTCGCATCTTACGCAGCGTCCACATACTGCCGTCGCATCTCCTGCATCTCAAGCTCTGCGCTGCACCATCGTCATTGCAGCGCGTCTCGTGGCCGTCGCGATGCGTATGACAGTGATTGTTCACTCACTGCCGTCGCATCTTACGCAGCGGCCTCTGTAGGCGCAGCGACCCCAGCGTTCGTCGCGCCGTCGGGAAGATCCAGTTCGCCCGCGTGCCGTCGCGCAGCGGCGGCGCTGCCTGCCCGTCCCAAGGCCGCAGCGACCGTATCATGGATCGCTACCGCGCGCCACTCAGGCGCCGCCGTGCCGTGGTGGCCGGTGATGTGCGGGTCGTCCAGCCGCGCCCCCCCGCTGTCCCCAGGTGTGCCGATCCTTCCCGTCCGCCGCCGACCCGGTTGGGCCGCGGGTAGCTATCTGTAGGCACACTAAAATACATATACAAGCCTGGTGCTACACAAGGTTCCCATACATACACGGCCATACATACACACATACAGACATACCCTCTACATCCAAACATACACACATACAAATATACATACAGAACGGTTATCCAAAGGTGGTCGCAGACCGCAGTCGGGTTTACGATACGTCTGCGGTATAATACACTTAGTAGTATCGCTTTACACGAGGTTTACACGCACCCATAGCCATACCCACACATACTGGGTCATAACCAGAAGGGCTAGGCGTCGAGTGGGGTACCTGACGCTCTTGATGGTGTCCAGTGACGCTATAGTCGCTTGTAAATGGAGGTCCCCTCAGGATAGAGAAAAGGTTAAATATTCCCAATCGATACCAGCCGCGACGGCCTAGCAAAATGGGGCGCCTCTGGATACTGGTGGCACATCACTGCCGGTGTCGTATTTACGGCCATCGCGACCAGCACGACCGATCTGAACTCCCGAATAGCCATCCCAATTTGTCAGCTTTGGCGACGCCGAAACCCGGTTTTACACTGGCTGAGTACCCAAGACACTAGTTAAACCAATTTACATAATGGACTGCGCCATTATAGCGTTGCAGGGGATTCGGGAAAAACCCGCTTGAAGTCTCTAAAATCGATTTAAACGTGTCGTGGATACGCCGTCTATCGTTGATACGCTGTTGTAGCCAAAGCTCCCGACTAACCTCTGTTGTCGTCACGTTTTGTAGAAAGCCGTGGCACTTACTTGGCGAATGATGTTCTGAATACCCACCTCAATTGTGTGGTGACTGGGGTAGCAGCCATTTGGAAATGGTGCTCAATGTCTCTCTGTCATCGTTGTTTAGAAGGAACGGCGGGACATGGTTTTCCGCTGTCGGAGTGGTGTCGGATGATTATCCTAGGCCACTGTAGTCACGCGCGAAGAGGGATAGTCTGACAGTTGGAACGAGGCGGTGTTCGCCTGGAGGATTTATCGCCGAGGTCGGAATGGAGCTGGAGTCAAATGACGGACTGACGCCAGGCAGGGGTCGGCACGTCTTAGTGCCCAGTGAAGCTGAACAGCGGCCAGGGGACGGCAGTCGGGTTGAACGCGCGGGGGTGTTGGCATCATGTCGTTGACTGAACAGTGGGGCCGTCTGTGCTTTGTAGTAATTCTAGTACTAGTAGCGGGTGCGGCTTTTAGTGGCTTGTACCACTTGGTCTACCAGCTGAGCCAAGACATGAACGCTTTGGTAAGTATTAACTTGTAGGACCTTATGCCCCTTTTTATATGCAGAATTGCTGAGATGCGAACCATTCATGATCAAGTCGGATTGATGGGGAGATGGATGCCGCCCTACTTGAGACTGGGTTTCATGAGTCATTATGATTCTGAGTGGCTGTTTTGATCGACCACGGCTTCTTTTCCCAACAGACAAGTTCATTTGGCCGGATGGAGACCACCATGACAAGTATTCTTCCGTTGGGGTCCGACGATAAGCTCGAAGAGGCCGTTGCCAATCAGACGGGACGTTTGGTGGAGGCCGTTCGCAAGGCCCTTCAATATTAGCGGGTGAGTGTCGACCACATGTCGAGTAAATTTACAGCCACACATTGCCTGTGCCTTAGTTCAGGCCTGCTGTCGTTTCGCTAACATGAACGATGAACATGGTAGCGATGTTAGTGGTAATGGTTCCCTCCCCCTTCCCTTTTTTTTAGATAGCGAAGAGGCGAAAGGATACTTAATCCAGAGCATACGGGAGCGCATTGAGGACACCGTCCACCATCAAATCGGCGAGCAAGCAGCAAGTTGGTTGGTGTGTATTATGGTAACCTTGGCAGATATTTACATGAAATATGTATAGGGCTTTGAGTTTAGACCTGATTGGGTTCCGCCGGAGTGAATACACCTTGACCTAGTACCGGGCTTGTTTTAAGGCTGGGACCGTAAGGCCACCACCCGCGTTCGTCGGGTTCGAGAACGCGAGCTCCGATTTGGTTGAGCGGGGTTGGTTTCCGCAGTTGGTTCTCGCCTGGGGGAGTGGTCTCGGTACTCGGCTATTTGGAGTGGCGGAGTGGATCGCACAGCAACATTGGAAGGGGGTGCAAACGTGACCATCGGCATCATTTGTGGAGCGTGAGACCGTTGCTTGGGCAAGTAACACTTACGCCAGCAGCAGCGTCCTAAACAGCACAGCATTGTCACCAGTAGCGCCAAAACGATAACCGTTACCAGTGTGCCCGCGTGAGGGGCCACTCGGTTGTTGTGCATGAAGTGAGTTACTGCATTCTGATTCACTTCAGCTTCTATTTCACTCAAATGCGATTTAAATTGGTTAAGAGGCATGGAGAGATGAGAAGATTTATCTAGGGCGGATTTAATCTGTTTGATAATTTCGTCATGCTTCTGCCCGGTTTGCAGCGGGGACTGGGTAATCCAAAACGATGCGTTGTAATGTTGCCTGACCAGGTGGTGTGTTCCTGGCAGCGCATAATGCCGGCTATAAGTGGAAGTAGCGGGTATCTGCACCTGCCCTGACACCCCTCGGCAGCCTTTTGGCATTAAGACATGCCCTCCACTCGGATGCAATGTAACCGGAGGCGGTCCATTTTTGGGACATATGAAACGCAATATTCCGGACATGTTGGGATCGTAGCTCCAAATGTTACCCTTTAAGTGCCTGAAAAGACTATTGGCGTGTAACTGTACTTTCGTCCTGCAGTGTTGTGGCAGCGGTCCGCCTTCCGGACCGTAATACAAGGTAGCGGTACAGGAAGTGTAATTTCCCGTTGGTTGGTACGTTACTATAGCCTGGGGCGTCACACACATATGTGGTCTATCCATGAAGTTTGTAATGGGTCTAGGCCTGGCCTCACAGTCAAACAGGCTTTCAAAAGGGTCGAGGGGAAAGTACTGATTTTGAGCCACTGCAAGATAGGGATTGGGCAAGTCAACGATTTCTTGCATGCCGGGCAGATCGTGATGATGCATGGGGACTGGCAGAAAGCGATACAATTGAAATGCCGTGCGATGATCATAGATGGGGATGGAGAGTCTGGCATACAATCGTTCCTTTTGGTCATCCCGCAATAGTTGGACCGGTACCTGGGGCATCATGGCCACCATTTCACCCACGGGTTGGGTGAAAGAAAAGTCGGTGCCCTGTTTCGGCGCCTCCCGAAGGATTTGTCGATATTCTTCAACGGTTAGTAAATTCGGTGGCATCTGTCCCGACGCGAGCATTTTAAGCTTTCGGATATCCTCCGCCATATGAAAGCGTAATTCGCCTGTGTACAGGTCTACCACCGATGTTCCTTGCAACAACTTTAACAGCAACTCCATGTACTGGGGCGTGGTGGAACTCTCCCTCCGTAGTGACTCCATGACCTTGTTCCACCCTAATTCGATTATTGCTAGTTTATTCAACCGGTCTTCCTGCATATTGACTCTTTGAACAGTACGATTTAAGTAAGTCAACATTTGTTCCTCTGAATGTGCTAATTTGGTTTCTGACGTTTGGAGCGTGGTCACCCATCTGTTCAATTCGGCCATCTCAGCAGTACTAGCCAGCCCGATGTAGTCGGCTAGGTCCCTTATAGTCCGCCGGGTGGGGTCGCTTTCTTGCCTTCGCTGTTCGGATTTGTTTTCTCCTTTCATTCCCGTGATTTGCTGAAGTTCCTTTAATTCTCTTTGTTCTTGTCGAAATTGGTTCAGTGCTTGAGCAATGCGTTGCGATAAATCATGAAACATGAGTACTAGCCTATCTGTAACCGAAGAGCTGTTTCCATTGGTTCCCAAGGCGTCATGCATGCCTTTTATTTGAGTCACTGTTTCGTTGGACGTTTTGGCATAACTTGTCATGGCGGCCAATTCTTCCGAATAGTCGTATGTTGGCAATTCAATCATTATTCGATAAGTCCCCTGGGTGAGGCTCACCTTTGGTCCCTGGACCATGGTCACCCCGGGACGGTGTTTGATGGGCAGGTAGTCATCAGGGACGCTGTCCCCGTTGGCTCTTAACATGACGCTCGCCGCTGCGAGCCAAAGGACCGCGATCACCATCGTTGCGATGCCCGCTGGCCGAGCTGCCTTAATCGTTCCAATGGCTTCAGAGACGTAATTCTGAAACATGTAACTTTTATCACCATGGTACCGAGAATAAGTCTGTCATTTTTTTTTTACGGTTAGCTGAAATTGCCGACGAACGTTTCTGATAACTGTTCTAATTTACGATGGTGAGTAGCGTTGGGGGGCTGTCCTCTGGCGCAGAGGATAGCGCCTTGGGGGCACTGCCGGGGCTCCCTGCGAGGGTTCCTCGTCGCTAGATAACATCTCGTGGGCCGCGTCCGATAAGAATAAACCGTCTGTAGAAGGCAGGGAAATGGTATCGTAGCCGTCACTCTCCGGTGGGGGCGTACTGGCTGGGGCATCACTGCTCTCGTCCGGGTTGAACTTTGCGTTAGTCCCTTCGGCTGTCTGTGACCGTGTGCCCTCTTGTGGTTGTGGTTGCCCCGGGGTTTGGTCGGTTTCAACCAATGATTTCCCAATTTCTCCCTCGTCCCAATCGATTAGTTCCGACGCCCACGTTTCTTTTTCTGGTGCGGCGTGTGTTTCCCCACTTTCGAGTTGGAGATGGATATTGGAGTCCTCGGCCGTAGTCCGCTCAGTGCGCTCTTGTGTCGCTGTCCTCTCTGTGGACTTCGCTTCAGCTGCCTCCGAGCGGTGCAGTTTGATGCGATCAACATGTACTAACTGTCGTTGTTGCGTCCCCTTTTTCTCGATTAAATAGTTAACATTGCCGAATTTCTCAATCACTACATATCCCGGCTGCCAGAACATAGCCAGTTTCCTTTTGTCACCTGCGGCCACTTTGGGGGTATACAACATCACATTTTGACCTATGCTGATATCTCTTAGACGGGCTTTGGAATTGTTTCTCTCTCGGTTTTGCGACGCGGTTTTTCCCATCCTTAGTTTGGCTTCTGCGAATGCTAGATGAGTGCTTTGGAGAAGTTCTGCGACGAACGGTGCGTAACCGTTCCAGGTTTGCGGAGGTTGGTTCAACAACAAAGCCTCTGGTGGCAGCGCCGGGTGTCTGCCGTGCACTAAATAGAAGGGAGAATACCCGGTTGAAGAGTGCACGGACGAATTGATTGCCATCTGGCATGCCGGTACACACAAATCCCAGTCTGTTTGCCCCTCTGATACATATTTGGCCAATATATCCGAAACAACCCGATGCGTGCGTTCGACCTTTCCCTGGCTCGCGGGGTGGTAAAAAGTATTCGTGCGGGCGTCAATTTTTAAAATCTGATACACTTGCTTCATCACTTCTCCTACAAATTCTTTTCCAGAGTCAGATACTATTTGGCAGCACCCGTGGCGGAAGAATATAGTGCGGGTCAATGCTTCCGCCACACCCTTTGCCGTCCTATCTGGGAGAGGGATCAGCTCCACCCATCGGGTGAAGCAGCAGATGGCCGTGAGCAGCACCGAGTTTCCCCTATCCGTCACGGGTAGGCCGGTCATGAAATCGATGCTTACTTTTTGAAAAGGTTTCGTAGCCTGGTAGTTTTCTTGAAGAGGAGCCTTTCCCTGAAATCCCGCGTTACGCTGTTCGCACTGCAGACAAGATTTTACATGACGGTACGCGTCTTCATTCATGGACGGCCAGAAATAATGAAGTCGAATACTCGCTATCATTAATTTAGCTCCCCTATGCCCCCCCATGGTTCCCTCGTGATACCCTTTTAGTACTAAGTTGCGCCAGACTTGCGGCACTACCCTCACTGTTCGTCCTTGATTTTGGTACGTGAGAAGTCCCTCTGGGGTCAATCGAAATTGGCGGTACCGTATTGGCCCCTTTGCGTTATGGTCATCCTTCATTGCCTTCGTGATGTTTTGAATCTCCACGTCCCTCTTCTGCTCTTGCAACCATTCCTCTAGGGAATGGGGCAAGAGTCCCATCTGCACTGCACACACGGGCTCCTTGGCGGCGTCCAAATTAATGTCAGCCACCAGACCCGCCTCCTGTTTCAAGGTCTCCCAGGAGACGCGGGTGAGTCCATCGGCGTGAGTGTTTTTGTTCCCGGGGACATGGCAAATGGTAAACTCAAAGTCCAATAGGCTGATGGCATCCCGTGCTAGACGTGCATTTGTGGTTTTAGGGTCCTTTACCGACTTTAGCAGGTGAGTAACAGCCGTATTGTCGCAGTACAGCATAAACTTTCGTCCTTGCAGATACTTCCGGAACTTATCTGTGATAGCAAATACGGCCGCCATCGACTCGCGCACATAAATGGGCTGACATGTTTCTCTGGGGGTGAGCACTCGGCTGGCATAGGCAATTGGATGCGTACCATCGGGGAAGACCTGCTGCAGTACCGCACCAATAGCTTTGTCACTGGCATCAGTGTATACCTCGAAGGGATATTTTCCTGTGAAGTCAGGGTACCGCAAGACTGGTGCGCTTGTAAGGACGGTTTTTAATGTCTGGAATGCTTCCTCACACTTGTCGTCAAATAAGAACGGCACATTTTTCTTCAATAGGTTGATCAATGGTAGCGCAATTTTGGCATAGTTAGTCACGAATCGCCGGTAAAAGGCCGTGATTCCCAAGAACGCTCGAACCTCGGTTTTGTTGTTTGGAGTTGCTATCTTTGTGATGGCCGATACCTTGCTATCGTCAACACGAATACCCTGGTCCGAGATGACGTGGCCTAATAACTTGATTGATCGGTGGAAGAGCTGAGTTTTGTTGGGTTTGTATTTTATTCCGTGCTGTTTCGCCAAGTTGAATACCTCCATTAGCACGTGCAAATGATCCGTTTCACTTTTAGTGGCGCATATTAGGTCGTCTAAGTAGCATCTAACTTTCCCAGTGGCCAGCATGGGGGCGTAGACCTGGTCTACTACTCGCTGTAGGGTTTCACTTGCCCCTTTGAGACCCATCAGCACCACTCGTGGCGTGAAATCGCCCAGTTCTGTTGTAAATGAGGCGTATTTGGCACACTCGGGGCGGATTCTAAGCTGCCAAAAGGATTTTGTCATGTCCATTGTTGAAAAGAATCCCCTGTGTCTGCCCAAATCTTCCAATACCTGCTGCATGTTTGGCAGCGGGTACCGTATGGGTTCGGTCACCTCGTTTAATTTGACGAAAGATTGCACTAGGCGATATTGGTCAGTGGCTGTTTTTGCGCCTGGCTTTTTGACTAGCAATACGGGGGATCGGTAGCCGTCATAGGCTGGTTCGATGATACCGTGCTTGAGCATGAGCTCCAGTTGGCGGTGCAGCTCTTCGCGCTCCGCCTCCGAGCATCTGAAGGGACGGCAATATACTGGTGATGAGTTTGGACGTAAGGTTATGGTGTGGGCCGCGATTTGGACTTGGCCCA